GCAACGATTTTTACCTGACTTACAAAAGAGGAAGAAGGTTAATATTGGGTTTTTAAAAAAAATTATACGTCACGTGTGTACGGATTTTGTTGAAACATTAACGGATGCTAACGATAGGGGTAGAGTTAGTCAATTGTAGCGATGGCAATTGGGCGGGTTTGGTTTGGGTTGAGCTTCAACTTAATCCATCTAACCCGCCAATCCATTAATGACCCAGTTATATAAAATTAYGTGGGTTAGGTTCAACCCAAACCTGCTTTAACCCAATCCAACCCGCCCAAACCCATTGATATTATATTTATGGACTTAAAAAACAAACTAACTCTCTCTTAACAAATAAGTTGGTCATAGCTTGGTGGTAATTGTAGTTACTATTTACACAAGTGGTGAAGGTTTAAATCACATGTATGTTATTTTTACACAAGCGGCAAAGCCATTGGTCAGACCACCTTGAACTATCTAATTGGATTATTTTCAAGCTAATCATATCAAGGGTGGTTGAACCATTTAGATCTGGATCAGTCCGGTCGAACCGGACCAATTCACTTAATGGTGGATTGACTTGGACCGGACCATATCAGGTTTGTGCACGGGTTTGGGAGCGAACCGACTGACCCGAAGTAGGTCAACATAAGTAAATCAGGTTGGCCCGGATTTGGGTCAGGTTTTGTGGCTATTGGCTGGCCGGATGGTCCAAACCAGGCAAAGCACGCGGACACCGAACCATCCCGCCCGAAGTTGTTTCAGATTCGGGTCGTGTGAATACTGGTTGGTCCGGGCGACCTAAACCGGGCAGAGCAAGCAGAACCATCCCACATGGTTTGTTTCGAATTTGGGTCGACCCAAATCGGTATATGCTGAGTCGAGTCAAACCATGTTGAACTAGTCTGAACTCGGGTCAAATGGATTTGGATTTATGTTGGGTGAAGTGTTTTTATTCAAGACAAAACTAAATTTAGTCAATAATTAGTAGAAAATTAATATATTAATTATAAATTATTTAATTCAAATGAAGAAAATTAAAAAATTGCTAAGGAATTAATACTTATGTCTGTAATGGTTAACCCAAGGGTTATCCACAACCCAACCCAACCCAGCCCAGCCCATTTAAATGAGTGGGTTGGGTAATGGGTTGATCACACAACCTGCCAAGTAAATGGGCAGGTTGGATAGGTTAGATACTGGATGGATTGGGTGGGTTCAGTGGGTTGGGTGAAAAATTGCCACCCCTAGTCAATTGTCAGAAACAATAGGGGTGGTGCAAGACAATAGTTGAATAGTAAGGAAATTGCCCTTTCAATAATTATTGGATATTAAACTATTGTTATTTGTTAGAGATTAGATTATTAACTTAGCTGAAATTAGAAGTATTCACTAGTCTATTCAGTTTGTTTCAGTTGTAGATAACCAACCAAACTAATTTGGTCGGGTTGGGGAGTTGGTCACTTGAAACTAACTAACGATTAGTGAAAACTGACCAACTTGAGTTGTATCGGTTAATGTTTTAAAAATTGACCCGCTTTTGCATCTCGGTGACCAAGTGTAAAGTTATGGCCTTCGAAAGTTTGCACATAAATTAATGTGCAACCTACAACCTGATGACCAAGTGTAATAGGTCAACAATTGAACCATCCGACTTGGGCAGTTTTGACCGAAGGGCGGGCTTCAATAGAACTAGACCTGGAATCATGGTTGGGTGACAGTTTGAATGGTTCAAAAGATTTAAACTTTAAAAATTAAATTTAAATTTAAAAAATTACAAAATATTATTAAAAAATAAGTTTAAAAACTTAAATTTATAATATAAAATATTTTAGATTAAGAAACATGGTAATTTTCCCACTTTCCTATATTAAAAAATTATATTTAAAATATAAAATTTTAATATAGATATCTATGGTTGGGTCGATTCGATTTTGGTCACTTTACAAATGGCCAAACCAAAACTTACCCACCTACCTAGTCAAGTTGGGAAAATTGCTGAACTGAAGCCGAACGCAAATACTAGAAAGTGACCAAATTGGGTCGAGTTAGGTTGGGTTGGTTGGTATCATCGGTTTTATGAACAACCCTAACTGAAATTAATTATTTTTATTTTGGTATTGCCAAAAAATAAAAATAATATATAATATAGATAGTCACTGACATCGAAGATGATGTCGTGATTACAAGGACCACCATTCTTATTCCAAATGGCAAACAAAGAATCCAATATTTTACCAAAATGATCAGAATCAATAGAAGATGGTACACCAGCAAGAATCTCTAACACAAGTTCCTCTCTCAACTCAATAGCTCTGTATTCTTCTTTCAAGAGCTTACATAAAAGCTCCAAACAAGTCTACTCCTTTAGAGCTTCTAGACAATATAACACCAAAGACACAACACCCATAAGTAGAACAACTTCATAGATGATCGACTGCATCGGAAGATGAACTTGAGCTTTAGATCCAAGGAGGTATCTTCCTATTGCACTCTAAGCTTCCAAGCGAAAGTCGTCACCAATGGCGAAGAGGAGACATTCTCATATTCAGATTAAGACACAGGTGAAAATGTTGAAATAGGGGCACCTCCCATAATTTTATTAGAGTAGAGCGAGGATTATCAAGGGAAAACAAATATGAACAAGTAAATTAAAGTTTGAATAGATGGAAAAGAAGGAAGCAAAGTGGCAGACAGCAAACAACCATTCGATGGAGGGATAAAGAGAAATAGGGGATTGGGAAAGAGAAGGTAGAGAGCTAAAAACAAGATTGTAGAAGAAAACACTTGATAATGGTGAGAATATCAAAAAAAAAAAAGAAAAAAAAATAAGTGGATGGGATTCATGAGGGAGAGGTATATGGGGAGAGGAGAGAATGGAGAACAGAAGCTTTGCTATGGGTCGACAACGTGCAAGGAGGTTTGGGAGTTAAGGAGGGTTTGGAGTTATAAGACATGGTTAGATTGGAAGGTTTGGTGTTGAAGGGCATCTCTAAGCTCAGCCCATCAAGCCGATAAGGAAGAGATGGCCTACTACTGCCACTAAACTGTGAGAAAATAGCAGTCCAATAATTACTTTTAGCATTCATTTTGATGTAGGCGCACATGGCAAGGCCCAAGATCATGCCATGTGGCATCGGCCAGATGAGATTCTGATCGTCCACCTTTAACTGCCTCCAACCACTCCATGGCAAGGTCAAGTATAAAAGGGGGTGCCCAACTCAAGGTAATTCCATCTTGCTTACTCTTGCTCTCTTGCATTCTTGTTCTCGAGTGACCTCGTCTCAAGCTTAGTCCAACCCCACCTAAGCGCTTGACTAACTTGATCATCGGAGTCTCCACCCATGGGATAACACCCGAGGCCTCTGTTGTGTGCTTTTCTCTCACTCTCAGGTTACACTCATCGGCCTCGAACAAAAGCAAAGTTACTTTGTTGCCCTCGACCCCATCCTTGGCAGCAACACATTCCATTGGTGTCAATGGCTATGGCCTCTCCAGGAATTTTTGTAGCTCTTGCAACCCAACTCATATAGGGCCAAGAGAAAATTTAGACCTAATTCCGGTGGGAATTTCATCAATACATGCAACCCAACTCATATAGGGTTGAAAGAAAACTTGAAATTGAGAATTCTATATCGTCTCTATAATAAATCAAACTCCAAATCACCAATCCACTACTTCTCTTACTAATTCATCATAGCATTTTTGAGTTTGGACTTCGAATTTCGATTAATTTGCCTATGAGCTCAGCTGATTAATTTCCCCTTTCGTGCGATTGTTGTCGATTTTATTGAAAGAGTGGAAGTGCCATTTTATCATTTTTGTTAGGATTTAACAACAATAATAATTTTTAGAAACCTTGAGGGTATTTTAAGACAATATATAAAAAGTAGGGTTATAGTTACTCAATTTCCTAAATTATAGTGGTATTTTAAAAAAAAAATTGCCTTTTTTGGAAAATTTCATTTTAGTACATTGAACTTTGGGGGTAGTGTTAAGTTTGTACCCGAACTTTCAAACGTATCACTACAATACCCAAACTTTCAAAAAAGTGTCAAGTTGGTCCAAAACTATTAACGAACGTTGAGTATCATGTAAAAGAACAAAAATGTCTTTTACCTATCATCTAATTTTCTTATGATTGATATCAAACTGGTTATGGATTTAGGTATTCACATCAACGATGGAAATACAAAAAATGAACAAATAATTTTTTATTGACAACCATGAAGAAAATTTCATTCATTGAACATAAGCTCCTGTGTTTACTACATATGGATTCAGGTCATCTGGTCACTGCGAGAGACAAGTAAGGTGTCTCTAGAAGAACAGAGAACAAAAGCTACTGAGCTGGAGAAGCATGCGTGTGTTGTCGATATTAAATGCGAGGATGGAGAGGTGAGTAGAAATTGGGAGGGAGAGAAAGTTTGTAGGATTTGTCACTTAAGTTCAGGCTCTGATCACCCGGCCGGTTTTGGATCTTATCACGCTTGGTTGCGATTGCAAAGACAAACTTGACGTTGCACATCGCCACTATGCAGAGGCCTGGTTTAAGTTAAGAGGCAACAAATAATTGTTTCTTACCTTGGATTTTATTGGATAATAATGACCTGAACTTTTTGACATATTCTTGATTAGGATAATAAGGGTCTGTTTGGTTTGTAGTCGGAAGTGGAATTAGAATCGGAATCAGAATCAAAATTCTTTGAAATTGGAATCAGAATGGTCAATTTTCATAATTTGTTTGATTCAAACAATAATGGAAATGAGAATTAAAATCAGCAGGAATGAGATTTCATTCCCAAAGGGAGGGGCAGTGAATGGCCATTCCCTCAAATGGGGGAATGCCATTCCACCCAATCAAACAGTAAGAATTGGAATAGCCCATTCTAATTCCGATTCCAGACCCCTATTCCTGTAAACCAAATAAACCCTAAGTTTTGAATTTTCAATCCTTAAAATGAAGCTATGCTTCATCTAATTTTTCCTCTTCTGAGTTATATGATAGAATTGCCCATCGGCAAATGCCTCCTGTAAAGCAAAGTCGTTGTTGATGGTAGCCTTGATCTTGCAGCATCATCGCCGCCCACCGATGCGTATCCATGGGCTGTTGTTCCTCGCTAACACATGTCATTGGCTTCTAGAACAAGAAAGGGGTTAGAAAGAACACGCCCACCACCCCATTGCAGTTTAACTTCTTTTGGAACGGTGGTACATCCGTTGTTGATCCTAAATGGGTACTGGGTTGCCGTTGTTTTACCTTATCTCCTTCCTGTTCTGTTTAGAGGTATCGTCATTTCCCCTCCCTCTTTTTCGTTTTGATTAGAGGTGAGCCTACCATCTAAAGGTAGAAAACAATGAACAATATCTTTATTAGTCCAAAATTTCAAGTAGTTCAACAGGTGTAGTATGAAGGTAGATGATAATGGACAAAGGTAGATGATAATGGACAGTGTCTTCTTTTAAAGAATAATTTTGATATTTTTAAAAATTGTGATTTAATAACCAACTGTCCATTAACGGTAGGAGTCAATTTGACACTTTTTAAAACATATTTAAAAATTTAGGTACTAACTTTACACTACCCCGAAAGTTTAGGTACTAACGTGAAATTTCCCCATTTTTTTTTTTCAGGAAATTCCTTTCGATTCCTAATACAGGCGATCCGGAGTGACCATCGGGCCTACAAAATGCACTGTTGCTAACAAGATTGAGTAGAGAGAAGAAACCTCACTTCTTTTCGAAGTCTGAATTTCTTTCCTCCTCGTTGATGCTTTGCGGACTATCGTTTCTAAAATGTCTGCTAACGTCGAAGAATTGGAGTTGCGGAACAACGAGAAATCGGAATTGGAGAATGGAAGCGAACTTGGAAGAGTCAAAGATTCAGATCCCGAGCTTGATCAAACTAAAGATGGAGAGATTAGATCAGAAGAGGTAGAAAAATCTCCTGCGGTTGAAGAAACCGTGCCTTCCGGGCTTCAGAAAGATGAAGAGAAAAGCCGAACTTTTACGATGAGAGAAATATTGAATGAATTGAAGGAAGATAGAAACGAAATTTCAGACGGAGAAGTTAAGAGAGGTACCACTAGTTACGATGCAGACAGACAGGATGCAAGCTCTCCTCACAGGTTAGTTCTGCAGATCCGTTTGTTTAGTAGATATTCTTATAGGAAGACCTGGGGTTTCTGTTATCTTTGGATTGCTTAATCCTTCACCGGCTTTATTCACGTTTTTCAGTTCTTAATGCAGTGGAGGATGGTTTGTTCTAAACAGATAATATAAGATTGTGGTACCTTTGCTATTACGCATTCAGTCCTGCATATTCCTTTAATTCATTGAGCAGGATCATAATTGTTAGTTTTTCATTGTGCTGTTGGCCTTTTTCTTTTCTATCCATCTTTCTATTGCTGCAATAATCTGTAGCCGTAATTGATTGGTTTGATGCAGACTTGTGATCAGTGCTTTACTCAATTTTAAAATCATTCAAACTGCAAAAATGAAAAAAAAAAAAGATAAACCAAGCATAATGTTTAGACTTTAACATTTTCCATCAAATCCCATTTCATAGGCTCTCTTAGTTTTGGTAAAGAGGTACATTCTTTTTCTCATTTGATTTTTAAAACATTTCAGTCAAGAAGAAATGCAACAGAAATATTTGGGCCAGAGCAATGTTGCCATGGAGTTGATCAATAATGTCACTGGTGTTGATGAGGAAGGTCGTGCTCGCCAACGAATTCTTTCTTACGCTGCTAAAAGGTATGGCTGTATTATTTGCTATGTGTTCTTTCCATGTTGGAGGAGGGTTAGAGATCTTATAAATCAGGTTATTGGGCTATACTGGCATTGTTTTTAACTATAATTTTGCGATATAATAGCTTTTGTTGCTACTTTCCAGTTTAATTCTTTTCTGTTATTGATTAAAAAGGAAAGATAGTATTTCTTCAGTTGTCATTTCCAAGGATTCATGTTTTCCATGGAAAAACATAGTAAGACTTCATTATTTTAGATTGAATTTTCTAGATTCACATCTGATACTACTAACAAACTCAGACTATATCTGATAACTATTTTTAGTTGGCTTGAAGCTGACATGGTCCTTATGTTGAATCAATAAATAAGGTCATTACATTTTTTAATGGATATTAAAGTAAAGTAATTTTATTCATCAAAAGAACAAACAAAGTAATTTTAATTGAAATTTAAGAGGAATTAATTGAATAATTTTTTAAGCTACTTGTAGCTGTAGGTAAGGGGGGTGATCTTCTTCTTTTCTTTATTTTATTTCTATCTCATCCCTAATTTCCCTTCATTTCCTATCACATACACCATTGTAAAGTTGTGGACCTAAGAGCCAGAATTTTCCCATGTATGCCAGAAAAGATCCTATATACCTTGGGTCTACAATGGTAAGTGGTTCTTTGAGTTCCTTACCTGGTTTTCTCTGATAACATCTTCGTGTACAACTCTAGTTGGACTGAAGACCTGGGCAACATTGTCATTATATTGGATGATTTTAGACAAGACCACATTTATGCCAAGTCCAGTATGTATCTAGGTCCAATAATTGGGAGATATTGTGGAATTTGGCCTCATCTGAACTGTGCCTTAAAAGATTGAGCATATGGTCAACTGGCCCTTATCCCCTATTGTGAATAGCCTAGGAGGTGTCCTTTGCCTTATGGGGTATTACTGTTAGAGAATATCAACCTATTCAAGGACCTCATCTAACAGCTTAAGCCTTTAGGTTGAATGGTTCTTTGAGATGGTATCAGAGCCATTTTGACCAAGTGGTCTAGTGTTCGATCCTCATTACCCCCATTATAATTAATTAAGTTTCAGCACAAGGTATGGGTGGGCCTGTGCTTGTTCACACTTCAAGCCCAATTGGTTTTTGTGTGAGAGGGCGTGTTAGAGAATATCAACCTATTAAAGGACCTCATCTAACAGCTTAAGCCTTTAGGTTGAATGGTTCTTTGAGAATTACCACTTGTTTGTATGAGGGTTTGGCTTGATTGTGGCGCTGTTGACATTGCTGTTAAAGAAAGATTCCTTCACCTAGAACTCTTAGGCTCATCATGCATTTGATGACTTAAAACAAGCCATTGTTGCCTCACCCCCAGATTTGGCCCTCCCTTATTTCACCAAAAAAGTTGGTCATGGATTGTAGTGCATTAGGGGTGGGTATAGAGGCCCCACTTATGCAAAAGGATTATCCAATTTGCCTTTTTTTTCAGTATGGCTCTTTTGGCCCTGGTCCAGCCTAAATCCACATATGAAAAGGAACTTATTTTAGTTGTTTTAGCAATTCAAAGGTGGGAGTCCCTATCTCTGACGCTGGCAATTCACTATAAGAAATGGCTGACGGGAAACACTTGTTGGACCAACTAACCCTCATCCTAGACTAGTAGGGGTGGGTGGCCAAACTCTTCAGGTCTGATTACAAGATTGAGTACAACTCACCCACTAATAAGGCTGGAATACTCTATAAAGGGAGGTTGATATAGCCTGACTCATTGTGACCTAGCCCACTTACCCTCTTTCAAAATGACTTGAGAGGAAGAAGCCCAAGCTGACCTAGACGGCTATTACCGCTTGTTCCTATGAGGATTTGGCTCCATTGTGCCCCGATTGACATAGCTGTTAAAGAAAGATTCCTTCACCTAGAACTCTTAGGCTCATCATGCATTTGATGACTTAAAACAAGTCGTTGCCTCTCCCCTAGATTTGGCCCTCTTTTTCACCAGAAAAATTTGTCGTGAATTGTAGTGCATTAGGGGTGGGTATAGTGGCCCTTATTTTGCAAAAGAAGCATGCAATTGCCTTTTCTAGTATGGCTCTTTTGGCCTTGGTCCAGCCTAAATCTGCATATTCAAAGGAACTTATTTTAGTTGTTTTAGCAATTCAAAGGTGGAGTCCCTATTTCCTGCGCTGGCGATTCACTATAAGAACTGGCCAGCAGGGCTTCAAATACTTGTTGGACCAACTAATCCTCATCCCAGACTTGTAGTGATGGGTGGCCAAACTCTCGGGGTCCGATTACAGATTGAGTACAACCCACACCCACTAATTAGGCTGGAACGCTCATAAAGGGAGGTTGATATAGCACGACTCATTGTGACCTAGCCCACTTACCCTCTTTTAGAACGACTTGAGGAAGAAGCCCAAGTTGACCCAAAATTCATGAAGATATGCAAGGGTTGGGCTAACAATCCACATATCACACCGGGGTATACATCAGTCATAACACTCTTCCGAGAGGGCTGAATGGTTATATAAGCAGCCTCTAAACACATACTTGAGATATTACATCAATTTGAGGCATCTCCCTTTTGCTGACACTCCGGAATCCCAAGTAGCTACCGAAGACTGGCAATCTGCAATTGCTGGAAGGGGACGAAGAAGTAGTTTTGGGAATTTGTGACCTCTTACCCCACCTACCAATAGTAGAATTGTGAGACAATGGATTCCCTAGGGTAGCTTCAAGCTCTCAAGTCCTAGAGCTGGTATGGGAAGAAACCAGTATGGATTTCATTTTTTGTCTTCCTACTTCAAACGGAAAATCGGTTATACTGGTCACAGTGGAACATGGGACAAAATATGCCAACTTCTGAGCCTTTTCACAACCTTATAGGACCATCACTGTTCCTAAAGGAGTCTATATATATTTTTTTGTTTGATAAGTCTAAAGGAGTCCGTATATTGGTCTATCCCATCCCGATTTTAGATGACAACTCAGGCCCTGGCCCGATCTTTAATAATGTCCAACACAGGATTTAGTAGAAAATACATTAGTCTTATAGGCCAACACCATTGCTAAAGGAGTCAGTATATTGGAAAATCCAATCCTGATTTTAAATGATAACTCAGGCCCTAGCCCAATCTCTAATAATTCTCAGCCCACGAGTCGATTTAAATCAATTTTTTGAGTCGAGATGTAGTCCCGATTTTAAACTGCCCAACCCACAATTCTTAGTAAAAAACTTATTTGAGCTGAATGCAGTCCTAATTTTAGACGACTATTGCTTTCGTTACTGAGGAGAGTTAGAAGACAAATGGATCTACCTTATAAGACCGAGATTGTTCCTGAAAGAGTCAGTATATTGGGTAATCCCATTGCGATTTTGAACATAACTAAGGCCCTGACCCGATCTCTGAAAATGCCAACCACGAATTAGTAGAGAAATAGCTTAGCCTTATAAGACCAACACCGTTCCTAAAGGTGTACAACCCACGCCCACTAGTAAGGCTCGAACGCTCTATAAAGGGAGGTTGATAAGTCATTTGTGACCTAGCCCAGTTACCCTCTTTTTCAGAATGAGTTGAGGAAGAAGCCCAAGTTGACCCAGAATTTATAAAGATATGCATGGCTTGGGCTGAGGATCCACATATCACACTGGCGTATACATTAGTCATAACACTTTTTTTTGTTAAGTAAATAAAAAATTTTATTAAATAGAAATAAGTTACAAATGAAGGTGATAAGTCATCTCCTGAGTACAAGACCAGCTTTCAGACTAAATAACAAGCTCCACATTACATATCTGATAACCCAGGACCTCTCCTTACCTATTTCCAAAATCCTCCTTTTCTAGCTGACTGAATTTTGGAAGAATCAACACCCATTCTATCATTGATCTGCCCACAACCGCAACCATCTTCTCCATGCTGCAAGCTTTGTTTTCAAAAGTCCTGTTCCTCTCCTTCCAGATGTTCCAACAAATTGAAAATGGGATACAGCTCCTTAATATCTTCACTTTCTTACTCCCACTCAGCCTAGGCCAGGTAGAGAAAATCTTTGTTGTTGAAGTTGGGCGAAAGCCAGAGACCCCGAACATGGTTGTAAACACTTTCCACAGGAAACTTGAAACTTGCATGAAATGAATAAATGAATAGCATTCTCCTCTTGCCCCTCACAAAGACAACATCTGCTAGCCATATTAAAACCTCTGGATTTCAAGCGATCAGCTGTCAAGATGCTGTCCATTGCTACCAACCAAGCCAGAGCCTCAACTCATGGAGGAACTGGGTTTCCCCAGATGCCCTTAATATGACTTGAGTCTGAGTTAGACCTGCTGAGAGCCAAATAACATGACTTGACTGTGAATTTACCATTTTTGCACTCTTTCCACCAGAGCTTTTCTCTCAACTAAGTTGCAGGTTTTACATCCTCTAGTTTTCTAAGAGAGAGATGTACTCTTCAACTTCCCTATTCAACAAAGGCCTCCTGAATTTCGGACTCCAAATCAACTGGTCTTCCCTTCTCTTATAACAGTCACTGATAGCAATTTCAGCCTCTGTTAATCTATACAGCCTTGGACATAGCTTGCAAAGCTTACCCACCCCATACCAATCATCCTCCCAAAACATGATTTTAGATCCATCCCCTACTGCAAACTTAGTTAGGTCTCTGAATTCCTTGTTAAAGGTCGTGATCCCCTTCCACACACTCACCCCATAGGAAGCCCTCACCTCCTTTGATTCCCAACCAAATTTCACCACTCCATACTTCCCAACCACAGCCCTCCTCCACAATGAGTTCTCCTCTCTCCCTAAGCTAAACCTCCAAAGCCATTTCCCCTGTAAGGCCCTATTTAAAAATTCTCTCTCCTTATCCCCATCCTTCCCCTCTCCTTCGGTCTACACACCTTGTCCCAGCTCACCAAATGAAATTTCTTGCCCCCTCCTCCCCCACCCATCCTCGATGACACTCCGGAATCCCAAGTAGCTACCGAAGATTGGCAGCCCACAATTGCTGG